CTAACCACACATGGAATCTCTAAACACCTCTGAGGTTTACCTAACAGCTCTGGGAAGGAATTCTAGTCTTTAGAAGGTCTGCTTACCTGGGGGAGGGTGGGTGAGATGAGAGGGAGATAGGCCTCTGCAATTTCCAATATTTTATGTGGAGACATTCCGGAACTTAAAGCATCTTAAGGCTGCATTGTTACTGGATATCTAGGGTCTGGCAAAAGCCAGGAAGCTGTTATGTATCTAAGAAAGGTGAGATTTAAGATAAGAAATTGGCCTTGCCTGTGATTCACAAACAATGGGGACCTCACTGGATGGGGCTTTGTTAGTTATTCAGCTGAGAAATACCTCTTTAGCAGAGGATCTGGTGAATTTCTCCAATATCTCCTCTCTTATTTCCCTAAAAGGGAAAATCTAGTTTCACTGAGAAGTGTCTAATGTTAATTATATTGGTAATATAAAGCAGAATCTGAATTTCAAATTGCTTATCTGTCACATAGATATTGTATGAAATGGATACACGGAAATGTTATTGAACATATTTCTCAAGACCGTGAATAGTAAATATGCAGAGTACAGGTATTTCTTTTCAGCCTAAATCATCTCATGACGAGTTTGTCAGTGTGAGGAAACATCTGCAGGTGACTGCTTACTTCTTTAACATTATATACAGAACAGTATATAGAACAGTTATGCTTGCTTACCTAGAACAGTTATGCTTGCTTCAAATCAGAGTGGAGGTAGGGATTTTGGTGCAAGGGTCAACTAGCAAAATTAAATATTTAGACTTGCAGGAGTCCTCAAACTTTTTAAACAGGGGGCCAGTTCACTGTCCCTCAGACTGTTGGAGGGCCAGACTGTGGCCCCGGGATGAGTCGGCTGCTAAGCAGGATAGGCAGCAGCGGCAAAAACACCTGGCGGGCCAGATAAATGTCCTCTGCGGGCCGCATGTGGCCCCGCTGGCCGTAGTTTGAGGATGCCTTGATTAGAGGGCCTCCAGCCAAAGTACTGGGAGTGAGAAGAGAAAGGAAAAAGAAGAGCTAGTGGTCCCTCTAGAGGAGAGTTGTGGAGAGGCACTCAAAGAGCGCTCAGTTGGCCTGCAGGCTGTTTTCTGCTTGTTAGTTTAATATCTAACCGCTGAGTGGAGCACTCCAGATAACACAAGACAGACAGAATTTGATCTCCAACATAAACCAGTGACAAAAATAAATATTTTCTTCCTAAATCTAGTAGGGTCAGTGTACTGGTAGCATCCAAGTTTGGAGATACAACAGTAACTGAGTAGGAAAATACTCTCAATATGGTAGAGGTTACTTTAAAAGGGCCAAGGACCAAATATGTGGTTTGATATATTTTATATACCTTACATCATTCCATATTTGCTGCTATTAAGGATTTCTCTACCTATGATAGCAGGATTTTTTTTCAGGTTTATCTCAATCCAATGTTAAGGGGAAAAAGTCTCCAAGCTCCGTAAACTCTGACAAACTATTGCCCATTGAAATTCCCCCTATTCCTAAAACTCTCCTGCAGCTTGCTGACAAGCATTGGTACCACACATCCTGGCATCAGTTCCAAGGCATTAAGTGAACAAAAATGCATGAAAACCATAACCAGTTATAAGGCTTTCACAACTGCAGATAAAGGTTTGAATTCAAAGACTGGTCACTTGCCCCTGATGGAGGAGGGCACCTGCACTCTACTCTCAGTCCCTCCCTGCTCAGTGCTCATCGTCTTAGGGATAAAGTGTTGGGTATCTGCTGGAGGTCTCAAGGGATCTCCGATAGGCCTTTGCTGACCTGAGCAGCTACATTCCTCATCTAATCCCTCCTTTGGGCTATATTTGTTCTGGCTCCAAATGCAGGCCTTGCAAAGAGCAGTAACAAAATCAGCCCTTTGCAAATGGTCTTTCTGTTTCAAACACATGGGCAGGCCGAGTGATGACAGTGTCTAGTCTGTTAGTAGCACTTTTTGAGTATGGCACTGACTGTCCTGTATCTTGCCTCTGTGCCTGTCCCTTCCTCACTAGACTGTGTCTTGACCTCTTCATCAGAGCATCTCTGGCACTCAAACAGATTCTGCTCTTCAATAGGTCCTGCCAAAAGTTTACTAAATGAACAGAGTAGTAACTTAAGACAAAGGTGTCCCCTTTTCCCTTCTCTATATGCCCCATCAGGGTATTACTGAACTAATTAGGGAAAGGTACAGTGTGGCAAACGTAATATCTATCTGTAAGGAAGGACACTAGAAGACAAGCAAGGCTCATGTCCTCTCAATAATCATCACAAAATAAAACACAAGAAATGCCAAAATAAAAATATAATTAGGTTTTCAAAGTTTACATGCATATATACCACTTTTTAAGAATCTCAATGCTATTTCTTTTTATTATAGCTAGACACGAAATGCCCAGATATACAAAATAAACAATACAAATTATAAACACTTTTACAAAGGTGAAAATATAAAGAAATGAAGACAACAGATTTATGTTTGCAAACATTAATTTACTTTGAATCCTGTCTGGTATTAAAACCTAACAGTTTATCAGAATTCGTATTTGATACAACTATGTTAAAATAATAGTGGACAAAACTGATAAAATTAATAGCCTATTGCAAATAACTACTCAAATTAATATGATCTTCAACTATGCTAAGTACTGTTGCTATAATTTTCTGTTTATTAAAACTTTTATTTTAGGGAACAAAACTGACCTTATGCTTATTCAGGAAAAAGAATTAATAAAAATTCATTAAATCTTTAATCTCAACTTTTAAAGCTTAGCACTCTGTAAGTATTTCTGCTAATATGAGACTACTTTTGGTTCACTGCTAACTTTTAAAATATCTTAAGACAATCAATGTGATTTAAGGTCATTTTGTCTGCAGAGTGCTCATGTTTTTCATTTTATACTAAAGCAATAAGGCAAGAAAGTAGTTCCTTTTCCAAAACAGACTAAGAAGAATACCCATCCATTCCAAAACTCAGGGATAAGAACCACTGCAAATGATCCTACCAGAAGGAAATTAAGGCTGCTGTGATTTTCCTTTATATTTAAACCAAACCATAATGTAAGATTAGAAGTGCTATTGCCTGCAAATGTTGAATTTATAACCTTTGGGCTTAAATCACAGGACATAGATATTGCCATTTCTGTCTATGCTTCTAAAACATTGTTTTCACGATCACCTTTGATACGTTTTAAGATAAAGTCAGAAAACACTACACAAGCTGGACATGGCAGTGGTGCATGCCTGTAGTTCCAGCTATTGGGAAGGCTGAGGTGGGAGAATCACTTGAGCCCAGAAGTTCAAGTTTAGCTGGGCAATACGGTGAGACCCTATCTCTTAAAAAAACAAAGAAAAGGAAAGAAAACCCTGCATAAAGCTGAAAGTACATGACTGCTACCAGGGGACACATGCTCGGGGTGTCACAGGTAGATGCCAGCATCTGGTTAGTGTTGGCACACTGTGCCCCCCAGCCTGGTACACTGATGTGTAAGACACATACCAGCCAGCCTGGCACATGGTGGTGGTGGCTTTCAGTGCTCCAAAGTACCTGGCCTTCTACTGCCAAAGGTGAGATACCTGGCTTTGCAGGAACTCCCAGGCAATAGCTAGACTATATATCCTGTTTGCTGCAATATTCTTCTTTGTGCAAGCTTGTCTAGACATGTGAAAGAGAAAAATCACATAACCTAGCCTGCAAAAGATTTCCTAAAATCATTTTCTAGCATGAATGTGGACCATGCTTCATAGTACACATCTACCAGTGTTAGCACCATAGTTTAGCCTGAACTGAGGTAAAGATAAATTCTCAGATAACTTTAGGTGGAGATTTCAGGAGTGATCTTAAATAGGGTACTTACAGCAGCATTCTTTCTGATGATTACAATAAGTTCTATGAAGAACCATTTGATCCCAATATATACATCCAAGTGTATACTGAAACTGATAAGTTACAAAGTAAAATATATAAGCTGATATCAGGAGAAATCTAACAAAACAGAATTCTCATTTTTCAATTCAAAATATGGCATTATTGGGTTGATGACGTAAAAGATTTTGATAAAATACACTGAGCCAGTATCACAAAGCCAGCTTATCAAAGGCAATGTCCAGAAATTTCACTTTTCAGAGCATGGTCAAGTTTACTAGTGCAGATGCTACCCAGTCAACATTCAGCTACTAAATTTAACTAGGGTCAGAGTATTTGTCCTCTACTCATTACATATTCCATTTAATAAAAAGGTGAGTAAGCAGCCAACTCCACCAACTATTTTGGTTTCTGTAGACAAACTTCTCTGGCACTTGTACTTAACATTTACACAAAGGCTGCAGTGGGAAAGGCCTTAGAACTTTGTAAAAAAAGTTCAAGGGGGTACAATATATTTCATCAAATGAAAATATAATTGGGCAAACAGAAGTAATTCTCTATTTAGTTCACATAAGCTGAAAAGGTAAAATAATAATGTTAACATAAAAAAGTTAATGGAAACTTTTCAAACTGCTTTTCCCTTCCCTTTAACATTATTTAACTAGCTTTTGGGAGCATCACAAAACTTACTTCTCAAAGAATAATTACCACTGTTTATCAAATTAAATGTAACTTTAGAGGCTGAATGTCCCTGGAATTCAGCCAGTCTCCAATCAGAGCTGGTTTTGATGATCATGCAGAAGCAGTCGGCCAGTGCCAAACTTCAGGCAGAAGATTTTTGCTCAATTTGACCAGAAGTGTTCAAAAACACTTAGCAGTAGCATTTTCATCTGGCTGTGTTGAAATTCAGATGAAAATAGGAGTAACTTCCCCCTGCAGCCTATACAAACATTTTAGGGAAATCATTTAAGGTTTGCACTTAACCTAAAAATTCAGCTGAATACTGAAGATCATTCTTCAGAAAACTCAAGTAAATAGGCATTCTTTTATAAATCTGCTGGTGCTAACTGCACCCAACTGCTAATGTGCATAAAGGCATAGTTCAGCTATGTTTGCAGGAACGCTAATTACTATATGAGGTCTTTCAGCTCCCTGTCGGTCAGCTCATTCACTTCCATGATCTTTTCCAAGTGCTCCATGTATCGGCTGTGGTCCTGCAGGAAGTGAGGGACCCTCAAGTTTTCTGTAACAGCCAGTCCTTTTAAGCGATCCACATCTTCATAGGAAACCTGAAAAAGGAAAATAGGTTGATTTTAAAACATAACTACAACGTACATTTTAAAGATGAACTTCTTCCCTGCATCTTTAAATGAAAGAATAGTGATCATGTTACTCTTTCAAGATATATATATGCTTGATCAAACAGCTAAAAAATAACAAAAAATCAGCAGTTTACTTTTCTCCTCCGTGTTAAATAAGAATGTATTTTTCTGTACCTGCATACCAATACCATAGTAAAAGAAGGTAATTTGAAGAAGTCATATGTGATTTAACACTGTCTTAGACCCACTTTGTTTTAAAATTAGACAACCAAACTTAATATGTATGTGCATTTGAAAGACTCTTCCACCCCCAAAATCTTACTAAATCTAAATAAAGGAACCATGAAAATAGGTAGAATATAATACTATATTACTAAATTAGGAAAATGAGTACAATTATGCCAGATCAGCATCCTGATGCCAAAAACCCAAAATTCACAATGCTACAAAATATGAAAGTTTTTGAGTGCTGAACTGACATGACCTTCAAAGGAAATGTTCATTAAGGCTTTTAGGAGTTTTAGATTTGCAACGCTCTACTGGTAACTAATGTAAATATTCTAAAACATGAAATGACAGAAAATCCTGAACACTTCTGATCGCAAGCATTTCAGAGAAGGGATATGCAACTACATATTAGACTCCCATTTAGATTTAGTCTGGGAAATGATTTGTGATTTTTATTATAGTCCCTTTCTTTTATTTTGCATTTTTTTTTTTGTGAGACAGAGTCTTACTATGTCACTCTCAGTAGAGTGCTGTGCTGTCACAGCTCATGGCAATCTCAAATTCTTGGGCTTAAGCAATTCTCTTGCCTTAGTTTCCCAAGTAGCTGGGACTACAGGCACCTGCCACAATGCTCGGCTATATTTTTGTTGTTGTTCTTGTTGCCATTGCTATTTAGCAGGCCCAGGCTGGGCTTGAACCTGCCAGCTTTGGTGTATGCGGCTGGCGCCCTACCCACTGACCTACGGGTGCTGCCCTATTTTGAATTTTTATAAGTATTTTTAAAAATTTTATATCTATTTTATCACTGTAAGACAGCAGCAATTCAGCTGTACTTCTATAGGTTTGAGGGTGAAACTTTTTAAGTTCTATAAATTATCTTTGCATCTTTAAATTCCAAAGCCTGATTTACTTTAAATATTATGGTCTTCTGATTAATACTCTTCCAGATTCAGTAGGAAGGCTTTAAGAAAATTAATCATGATTGTAAGAGGGACTTTACCTAACAAATACAATCAGTGTAACCTGGTTTCTTGTACCCTCAATGAATCCCTCCCCAACAATAAAATAAAATAGGGCGGCGCCTGTGGCTCAGTGGGTTGGGCGCTGGCCCCCGCTGCACTGCAACAAAAAAATAGCCTTAGAACTTTGTAAAAAAAGTTCAAGGGGGTACAATATATTTCATCAAATGAAAATATAATTGGGCAAACAGAAGTAATTCTCTATTTAGTTCACATAAGCTGAAAAGGTAAAATAATAATGTTAACATAAAAAAGTAGGAGCTTGTGGTCCCAGCTACCGGGGAGGCTGAGGCAAGAGAATCACCTAAGCCTAGGAGTTGGAGGTTGCTGTGAGCTGTGTGATGCCACGGCACTCTACAAGGGCGATAAAGTGAGACTCTGTCTCTACAAAAAAATAAAAAATAAAATTAATCATGTTTTTCTTATATCTGTATTTTATTACATTTTTAACATTGTTAATATTATTAAACACATATTTTAGTGTTTATACCACTAAATGTAATGAAAATAGGTTTGTTGATATTGATATGGCTTAGTAATTCTTAAGCCATTCTGAGTTTATTATCAGAGAGAATAAGTAAATGTACTTATGTCAAGCAATAGTGTTCTCATTTGAAGAGTAAGGAGATACAAATATAGAATGAGAGGGAAAGTGTGAAAGAATCAAGAGCAGTCTGATTTGCACTTGGTTTAAGTCACTATGATTAAAAATAAACATATGATTTGCTCATGAAAAGATCTAGAAGAACACCTTAGTAGCAAGGTACACACCTAGTTTTCAGATCTTATTTTCTAAATATCATTTCCCAATAAAAGGATTTAAGGCTTCAATGGAGAAACACCTAATCTCAGATTTGGGTAGGTAAAGTCCAAGATGAGCCTAGACGTTTTGCTTTGCTAGAAAACATAGAGATATATTTAAAACAACATAAGACCAGCCATGAAAAAGTTGAATAAAAAATAATTAAGTTCACAATAATACTACAAAAAAAGGGGAAGAAAGGAAGAATTATAACAGAATTAGATTTCTCTTTTGTTACCACCAGTGTAATAACTGATTTGGAAAAAGATAATCAATGGATGTTAAAGCATTCTTTGTAAGGTTATTTGGAACAGTCCATTCATAGGAATCATCACAAAGATGACTATTAATACAATGGAGGAGATCTGGTGATCACTAAGTTTTCCAAGTACAACATTACCAATAATGCAGCAAAGATAACATGTAGAGTATTCTTGGCAAAAAGTGTTTAACTCAGATCTCATCATGAGGAAACTATATGATAATCCTAATTGTAGAGATTCTTAAGAAAACTACAGAGTCTTTAAAATGTCATGAAAAACAAGAATGGGGCAAGGGAGACTGTTCTAGATTATGAAATGAAAGCATATAACCAAATAATGATGCATAAATAATCCCGAATAGATCCCAGATCACACACACAAAAAAGAAAAGAGCTGCAAAGGACATGTTTCAGACAATTTGGAAAATCTGAAGTAGACTATTTTAAATGTTATTTTGAATCAATAGTAAACTTTTTTTTAAACTAAATCATAGCTGTGTACATTCGATGGTAAACTTCTTAAATACGAAAATTATATGGTCATGTCAAAGAATATCCTTGTTCTTAGGAGCTATTAAGGGGAGAGTGTTACAGCTGCCACTTACTTTAAAAAGATTTTAGACAAAGGTGCTTTTTATAAATGCTTTATAGAAAAAGTTGTATATCCAAATAAAAATTAAACTATATACAGGGTGGCCATAAAGTTTGTGTGCAATTTTAAACTGCATGTGAACTTTATGGCCACCCTGTATATTTCTAAATTTCCTATTCTCTTATCTCTTACTGACCACAAAGAAATTTTGCCATTTGGTTCTGTGACAGAACAGTACTTCTCTCTCTTGTTATCACACAAAGGAAACTTGTTCCAACAATAAACTAAAAAGTCTGAACCTGAGTCTTATGAATCATAAAATCAAGCTATTCGAAATGCTAATCTGGCATGCTTGGGACTATGTGCCACTGGTTTTACTCACCTTCCCTAGGGCAGTGAGTAGATGAAAGTCTATGGTATCTCTGTATCGGAGGATTTGAAGTATTCCATCCAAATATACTTGGTCTTTACTAAAACACCCTGGAGGAACCAGAATAGTGTTTATTTTCTCATATTTAAAAATTACTAAGTAATTAGATACTAAACCATTCCCTTTACTGTAGGAATCAGTCCTGCATAAAGGAAAGTTCTAATTTGTCAACTTTTTTAGATTTAACTAGCTGTATAACATAAAATGTGAAGTTAAGCTTAGAAAACATAAGGTCAGTATGCAGACTAGTACTTTCTCTTTAAGAATTCCCTCCCCTCAAAAAAAAGAATTCCAGCCCCTCAGACTTCATTCTCATTATTAATGTAACATTTTTCCTTATTTTTAAAATATATGACTCTTATAAAGGATTGGCCTATCCTCCCCCACCACTGCCATTCAATCATAACCATTAAATCCCATGATGTGATGAAGGCATTTGGGTAGAAAGGGTAAGTGGGGTGCAAGGATAAGTTTATTGCAATCAGGTCTCAGAAGAGGTAGTGTAGAACATGTAGGATTTCAGAAAATCCTACTGTTAAAAATAATAATAATAATCTTCACTCCATTAAAAAAACAAAAAACAAAAAACTATGGTCAGCTAAATGTCTCAGGGTCCGGGAAGGTGGGGGGACCAGGCTGGGCTCGGTGGCCCACCCCTGTAATCCTAGCACTCTGGGAGGCTGAGGTGAGTGGATTGCTTGAGCCCAAGAGTTCAAGACCAGCCTGAGCAAAAAGTGAGACCCCGTCTCTACTAAAATAGAAAAACTGAGGCAAGAGGATTGCTTGAGCCTAGGAGTTGGAGGTTGGTGTGAGCTATGACGCCATGGCACTCTACCCAGGGCAACAGCTTGAGACTCTGTCTCAAAAAAAAAAAAAAACCCAAAAACTATGGTTCAATAAATTCTAGGTGATTTTGATAATGTTACTCCCTAGGAAAACAATAATTAAACTAGATTATAAAGAATATGTGGACTTTTAAAAATAGAAAAACAATGGATAAAGAAGATATGAAAAGCAAGAACAGTTCATCAGATTAGAAAAGGATGCTCTGCTTATAAAGAAAATCTTTTTTTTTTTTTTGCAGTTTTGGCTGGGGCCAGGCTTGAACTCACCACCCCTGGTATATGGGGCCAGTGCCTTACTCCTTGAGCCACAGGTCACCCTATAAAGAAAATCTTTTTCTCATCCTAACATGTGTACATTTTTAAAAATTTTGCTTTATTAAATGAACTAAAATCCTTCCATATAATCATATTTAATGAATTACTGTTAGTTTTGTTAGCTATACTAATAGCATGGGGATTATGAAAAAACTGTCCTAACCAGGTAGAGATGCTTCCCAAAAGATTTATTGGTAAAAGGACATGATATGGGAATTGGCTTTAAAATACTACTGGGGAACAGGAACTTGGAAGAATAGATCAACTATATAGTTAGAAAATGTTGATAATTACTATAAGATCAGGTAATGTACTTATGACAGCTCAGCATATTAATTGTTCTTTTACATACATACAAAATTTTCTGTAATAAAAACTTTTTTTAAAGTATGTGAACAAAAGAATAAAAAGACTAGTCTAGAAGTGATGTGCCCTCTACATCTATTAAACTGTAGGCAAAAGGATCTAAAAAGGAGAGGGAAAAGGGCAGACACATTTTTGTCTGAAACCCTGCCGGGGGTGGCTATGCACACAAGAGAGACAGGGAACAGATGTCTTCCTCTTTCCTATCTTCCTGCCTTGTCTACTCCTGGCTCACAGCCACACTTTCATACAACTACGTCATTGGCAGAAAATGTTAATGTGGGCTGGGCTGGCAACATAATCATTTCCGACCTGAGCATCTCCGAGCTCCAAATAAATAGTTTAAGAATATTAGAAGAAAATGTGTTGGCTCGGCGCCTATAGCTCAACCGGCTAAGGCGCCAGCCATGTACACCTAAGGTGGCGGGTTCGAATCCCCAACCCGGACCTGCCAAAACAACAATGACGGCTGCAACCAAAAAATAGCCGGGCGTTGTGGCGGGCGCCTGTGGTCCCAGCTACTTGGGAGGCGGAGGCAGGAGACTCGCTTGAGCCCAGGAGTTGGAGGTTGCTGTGAGCTGTAATGCCACGGCACTCGACCCAGGGGGACAGCTTGAGGCTCTGTCTCAAAAAGAAGAAAATGTGTTGATATGTTGAACTAATCTGAAAATCAAAATGACTTTCAAGGGAGTATTTCTTGACTCTTTGCTTTGTTTATTGATTATTTATTTATTTATTTATTTTTTGAGACAGAGTCTCACGATGTTGCCCTCAGTAGAGTGCTGTGGCATCATAGCTCACAGCAACCTCAAATTCTTGGGCTTAAGTGATTCTCTTGCCTCAGCCTCCTCAGTAGCTGGGACTACAGGCACCCACCACAACACCTGGCTATTTTTTTGAGGTTGTTTAGCTGGCCCAGCCCAGGTTCGAACCTGCCACCCTCGGTGTATGTGGCTGGCACCATAACCAGTATGCTATGGGCACCGAGCCTGCTTTGTTTTTTGGAGATGAGGGTTTTGCTATGTTGCCCAGCCTTAACTTGACTTGAACTCCTGGGCTCAAGTGATCCTCCTGCTTTAGCCTCCCTAGTAGCTGGGACCACAGGCACATTCCACCATACCCAGCTAATTTTTCTATTTATATTAGAGATGGAGTCTTGCTCTTGCTCAAGATGACACGAGAGGATTGCAGTTCCTCAAAAAGATAAGCCTACAGTTACCATGTGAGTCAATTCTACTCCAAGCTATATACCAAAAGAATGAAACACATATCTGCACAAAAACTTGTATACAAATTTTCATAGCAGCATTGTTCATAATAGCTAAAAAGTGGGACAACCCAAAGGTCCATAAGCTGGTGAGTGGGTAAATAAAATGTGATACAGCCATACAAAGAAACATTAATTCAGCAATAAGAATGACTGAAACTGATATACTCTACAACATGGATGAATCCTGACAACATGAGGATAACTGAAAGAAATCCCAAAGGATCACTTACTATGAATCCATTTATTTGAAATGGTCAAAATAGGCAAATCTATAGACACCAAAACCTGCTAAAAATGGTTGGTCAGAGCTGGAGAAGAGAGGAGGAGATTGGGAATGAATGCTGATGGTTATGCATTGCTTTCTGGGATAATAAAAACATTGTGTAATTAGATAGTGGTGATGACTGAATAACTCCAAATATTGTAAAAATCACTGAACTACACATTTAAATGGCCAAGTGGTATGAGATGTGAATAATATTTTTTTAATTTAATTTTTATTAAATCATGATTTGAGATACAATATGGAATGTGTAAATCAAACTGATTAACATAACCATCACCTCACTTACTTATAAATTTGTGGGTTTTTTTTTTTAGAGATAGAGTCTTACTTTGTCGCCCTCGGTAGAGTAACGTGGCATCACAGCTCACAGCAACCTCCAACTCCTGGGCTTAGGTGATTCTCTTGCCTTAGCCTCCCGAGTAACTGGGACTATAGGTGCCGACCCCAACACCTGGCTATTTTTTTGTTGTAGTTTGAGCAGGGCCAGGTTTGAACTCTCCACCCTCAGTATATGGTGCTGGTGCCCTACTCACTGAGCCTTATAAATTTGTTTTTAAAAGTCAAAGACAGAGAAAACAAAAAATGTCAAAATGTTAACAATTGGTGAATCTAGATGATGGGTATGTAAGCGTCCATACTTTCCATATTCTGTAGGTCTAAAAATTTTCAAAATGATCTGGGAAAATATGATTTGGGAAAACTAGCACTGCCCTCAAGTAAGGAAGGTTTCATTTCTCAGAAATGAGTGAATTCTGTGATTCAGGGATTAGTATATAAACAAGATCACGACCAGTCAGTAAGTCAGAAAATCTACAATTAAAGAACACCTACCTGGTCGGGAAGTATCAGTCCATCCCCTTTTGGCCCGTACACAATAGTCCCATCTTGTATTGGGGTCCTTGACAAACTTGCCAATATCTTTGAAGAGTTCACAAAAAGACATCTGGCTGGCTCGATAAACAGTGTAGTAGAGGAGGGCAGCCCTCCATAAAAAAGGGTCTTTCCTAAAGAGGACACTGTGAATACTTGCTAGTCCTTCCTCTGTGGGATTATTGGGCTTTAGCTCATGTTTTTTACGGCCAGTCCAATTGTTCCATGGCTGCTGAAGGTTGTTCATTCCTCGAAAATAATGTGTGCCTATGGAGAAGAAAAGTTACATGAATAATAAGAAATGCCATTCTTGTCTTAATTCTTCCCCCAAAGAAAGATTCCACCAACAATTCTAAAATCAAATTGACCTGTACCTACAAATCAGAACAAAGTAGAAAATTCCATCACCCTAACATCTTTGGGGTTTGAAGGAATACATTGCCTTCAAAAAGACTATATATCTCATCAAAGAAGGTGTAACCTTTATATACAGGGGCCCAACCTTTTTCCTCTGCCTTATGTTGGAAGAGTAAGAGTTGTCTTGGGCCACATATTAAATATACAAAGATTAACAAAAGCTGATTAATTAAAAAAAATCTGTGTATACTTTCTGTGATATTTGACACCACAGATAAGCAAAATTAGTCCTCACAAAATCAGCATGTGGCTCACTAAGACTCCATAAAAAATTAGCTGGGTTTGGTGGCAAGTACCTGTAGTCCCAGCTACTCAGAAGGCCAAGGCAAGAGGATTGCTTGAGGCTGGGTGACAGAATGAGACCCCTTGTCTCTAAAAAAAGTAATAGTAATAAAAAATGAACAGAAGAATCATAGTCTTGGTATTTCAACTACCTCAGTTCAAGGGGGGAAACCAAAATCCAGAGGAGGTAAATGAATTTCCAACCTTAAGACAGCTAAAAGGGGATAGGTGTGATGGCTCACACCTGTGATCCTAGCACTCTGGGGGGCTAAGGCAGCAAGATCAATTGAGGTCAGATGTTTAAGACCAGCATGAGCAAGAGGGAGACCTGTCTCTACTAAAAATATAAAAATTAGCTTGGTATCATGGCAGGTGCCTGGAGTCCCAGTTACTCAGGAGGCTGAGGCCAAGGAAGATCACTTGAGCCCAGGAGTTTGAGGTTGCATTGAGCTAGGCTGCCGTCACCACAGTTCAGCCTGGGACTATAGAGTGAGACTCTATCTCAAAAACAAACAACAACAAAAACCCCAGCTAAACTGTGTCCTAAAAAAGTCTAATTTCAAATAAGATGTATCAGCTTGACTCCAAGTGAAGCTTAACAACCTCATGACTTTTTGCTAATTACTACTAAGAAAAAAAGCCATTCTGAGAGAACATTTCTCTGGGGCTAATTCCTGATATTACAAACGAACAAATGGAAAAGGGCTGCCTGTACCTATCTCATGCCTCAGCATTCCCTCCAGCCAATGCTCGCGTGCAGTGGAGACATTGATGGTCAGAGTTGGACATCCATTTACTACTGTCATTGAAGCCCGGGACAGCAGATCCTCAGTGAGGTGAACTACAATCTAAAGAGCAAGAGAAAAAAAGAACAAAATGTAAAGAAAAGAGGGGAAAAGCTTTCACAGAGAGCAAAGTTCCCTTAGTTAACACTGTTTTTGTTTGTTTACAAACACCTTGAATGGCTCAGAAACCAAGAGGATGGAATATATAGCCAATCGCCTTTAACTCTTCTAATTTTAACCCTTTGAGAACTCAAGAACCTTACTGGCTGAAGGGAGAGTAGATGGCTATGCTGAGGAAGACAGAGGACTTAACATTTACTTCTAGGGTATCTTACATACAAATGATGCTTGTTGCTGGCACCAAGGCTTTGAGACTAGTCAATAAGAAGAGACTACTAATAAGAGAGGCCACTGGGGCAAACCTCTTTACTAACAAGTTTCATAAAGGAATTTATATAATTCCATGAGCTAAAGAAATGGCAATTAGAAGAAAAATGAAGAGAAACTAAACATATCAGAACAATTCAATGCAGCAGGCACTTAGACTTATAGTATTTAGTGAGAAATTTTGGGTGACTAATTTTTTGTTGTTATTTTCTTTTGGGGTGATAAATTTAATGAGTAAAATAGGGCTGGGGGAAAATCCTTACAGGCAGAAACTATGATTGATGGGCACTGACTGAGAGTTAAAATGCCACAGTCACCTCCCCATGTTCACTTGTGAGTCATACCTCCCCCAGGCAGCCTTCTTTCACCATGTACTTCCTAACATGACTCCAGATTCGAGGTTTAGATAGCAAGCTACCGCCAGTGGCTTGTTCAAATTTTTCATAACTTCCATATTTCTGTAAAGTCAGTTCCATAATATTGATGGACTGCAAAAGAAAGAGATAATGAAAGTAAATAGCCTCATATTACTTGGAGATGAGTAATAAGCTAGCTATGTTCTTATTTATCATGGCCTATTCTACATTAGATTTCCAAAATTACTTTCAGTTGAAGAGCCACATTTTTTTATCTTAAACAACTTCCATTCATTTTTGAAAATTTGTTCAAATGCCTATGCATTTACATACATTTACTCTCTTGCCCTGAGTTTATTTCTCCTTAATATGCTGAAGGATAGAGGGGTTCACAAACTTCATAGAGACAGGCTGAGATGCTGGAGCAGAGGGGCTCCTGGCTTCTCTGAGATCACTGGTAGTTTGGCAGGAGAACTCAGAATGGAAGGTATGTTTCCACACTAGTCACTAGATTATAATTGCCATTTGGATGAAGAAAAAAAATTCAAAATTTTAAGAACATATAAAAGCAGCAATCAATCTTTTGTGACAATCTATAAAATCTACTCATCTGGGCATTGTGGCGGGTGCCTGTAATTCTAGCTACTTGGGAGGCTGAGGCAAAAGAATTGCCTAAGCCCAAGAGCTGGAGGTTGCTGTGAGCTGTGATGTCACAACTCTACCGAGGGCAACAAAGTGAAACTCTGTCTCAAAATAAATAAATAAATAAAATAAAATAAAATAAAATCTACTGTTTTCCTGGGTTACTTACTCTTTGGAAGAAAACATAAAGCCTCAATAACACTTTTATCTTTTATTCAGAGCATGGTACTATCTACTTTTTGTTCTTCATAGATTTTTACAACAAAGGAATAAGAAAGTTGAGATATTTTTTCTCACACATGCATATATTAATACATACATGCAGAATAGAAGACTAAAAATGCCTGGTAACAAATCACAAATGTCGGTATCTATGGGAAACTATAGAAAGGAAGACATAAGAAAATTGCTTTGCAAAGGCCTTTTGGAAAGAAAATGTAGAAAATTCAAATAAATTTTATATGAATTATGAAAGAAACTAGAAAATTCACAAACATGTTATATAAAGCCTGTAGTTTCTGGACTGGCAGACTAGAACAGAGATTAAAGGGATAAGCTCTAGACTTACACTGAATTGACTCCCTGACTCTGTCATCTTCCAGCTGTATTACTACGGTCACATCACTAAACTTTAAAACTCGGCCTCATTTGTAAACAGGGGTAATAATAATTTAGTCAATCCTTGTAAAGCATAGTGTCTGGGGCATAAGTAAGTAGTCAATATATGTTAACTATCACATCAACATCAGTATGTTACCATTCCTTATACATACACGTAACACCACTATTGGTAACATGCCTTGAAACAAAAATTATAGAAAACCTCACGTAAGGCCAGCAGCACTGGCATGGCACGGGAGCTGGCTCTAAATGCAGAATTTCAGCCCCTACACCCTATGCCTACTGAATCAGAATCTGCATTTTAACAAAATTCCCAGGTGATTCAAGTACACAGTAAAATATGAGGATTTCAGATAATAGCAAACACAGCACAAGTGCCCCAGAGGCTGATTTAGTCATATGACAACTGAGATAATTAAAAGCACAAATTAGCTCATAATTAAAAACCCATTTTAGCAGATGTTTTGCATACGCCTGTCCAATAATCACCAGTCATTCAGATAGTAGAGTGAGAAAAATGTGAGAAATTTGGCCTTAAGAACTACAGAAGTGGTACTTTCTATATTGGACTGATAGATTTTTTTTTTCTTGAGAGAGAGTCTCACTTTATTGCCCCTGGCCAAGTGCTATGGCATCACAGCTCACAGCAACCTTCAACTCCTGGGCTTAGGCAATTCTCCTGCCTCAGCCTCCTGAGTAGCTGGGACCTCAGGTGCCTGCCAGAAAGCCCGGCTATTTTTTTTTGTTTCTGTTGTTGCAGTTTGGTCAGACTGGGTTCAAACTCGCCACCCTTGGTATATGGGGCTCACCCCCTACTCACAGGTACTGCCCTGATAGATTTTTAAAAAGCTAAAAAACTTTTTATTATAATTTCAGCTTACAGATTTTTTTAAGCATATACTTAATTTTACTTAAAATTACTTTACTTACTCAATAGGAAAATGTTGTGAACTAAAATAGAACCTTAAGCTTCCTCACTTTCCAGCTGATTAAATGGATCCCCTCTTGGCCAAGCAGACTCTAGATATACCCTAAGAGCTGAGTTGCTGGCCATGAGAAAGGTGGTAATACATGCCTCATCATGGCTCCTTTCCTTCTTGAAAACATCCCTAAAACCCATTAATAAACCTAGGGTTATACAGGGCAGGGCTTAAATTTATTTAATATCTCCAGGTCCTAAATTTATTTAACAGATCACTTGAGACTGGGTATATGTCTGGTGGTGTGTCTCTAATTGGTAGACTTCCTTATCTTAAAACATTTCAAACCTTTAGACAAAGCTTCATTTCTTTAACCAAATACAAA